GTGGACACTTGAGCAGATAAGGAGATAACACAGCCGGCGCATTTACGCGCCGCAACGGATGCAAAACAGAAGAAAAAGGAGGCCACCTAGCTTGTCGTGGCCACATCAAAGGGAACCTGGTTATTAACGGGCAGGGAGAGCAAGCCGAAGGCCGCATTACCATCACACACACACACACACACACAGATACATCGTGCTGGGCTCATTTGTAGTCAGCAACACACACACACACACACACACACACACACACACACACACACACACACACACACACACACACACACACACAAGCAAGCCGGGAGGGACAAAATACTTTGCACGCGCACAACAACCAGGCGCTGTTGTTGCCTCTCACAATTAATTAGGCAACTTATTGAGATCAAGATGCAATATGCATGTTAACTTGATGGATCGGGTCTGGTTTCAGAAAAAAAAGGGAAAAAGCTTTGATGTTTACAGAACTTGGCAGTAAATCACTGGCAGCAAACAATTACAGAATTAATGAAGGCCCGGAAACAATAAGCACGGCTATTGTGGCAAATGTGTGCATGGTAATATCTGAAAATGCATGCATGCTAAACGTGATGTCAGACAATGGGGCGCCGCAGAGTTTATGCAGGCTTATTACTGGTCTTGAGGGCCTCAAGTGTGACAGTGCGCTTACCTTTCTTTGTCAATCAATCAGTTCAATTTATTTTGGAACATGGTCTGTACTTGTCGAGGATCAAATTCAAACTGTGAGAGCATCCATTTATCACACACAATGAAAATTATATAAAAGACACACACAAGGCAGAATGCACTTTACATCCAATAATACGAGTAAAGAATGCATTAATTATAGAACTACTATTCGTCACAACTTTGACACAAACCACAATAAACAGATAGATAGAAAACTACACGGCTCTCTCACCAAATAATACAGTATGTGTATTAATGAAGTGGGAAAAGTACATATAACGTGTCTTTTGATAATCTAATACCCACTGTGGGAAAAAATAGCGTGCAGTCCAAATGTCCCGGTCCAGGGTCATTAAATAACATTTTTTACTTTTTTGCATGGGGGAGCAGAAGTGAGGGATTTAGGTCACATGCAAATGTCTTGCTTGTAATATTTTCAGCATGTGTTGATCCATCTGGAGCTTGAAGCAGAATAATAAGCACAAGCCTGGCTAGCATGTGCCGACATTCAAAAGGCGGCAAAGACATGCTCAACAGCTAAAGGCGACGTGCTGTGTGACACAGAAATAGGCTAAAACATGTACATTTTCTCCACTTTTAATTTAGCAAACGGATAAACACTAAATATCTGCACTTGAATTTTTGAAGTTGAATTTTCTCTGAAATGAAGATTCAACCTCGTTCCGCATAAATGCAGCAGAACGGCCTTTCTTAGCACCACGTTGCTTTTTTGTTGTCGTTGCCCCTGATGAGCGCTGCAGGGTATGATGTCTGTGCGTCCTGTGCAGCAACAAAGATTAATTAAACACGACTTTGGGTTGAGATCACACACGTCACCTTAGATTTCAGTGCAAATGCGGATGGCCGCGCTCAGCGCTAATCGTAGGAAAAAGTTGTCATGGCTCGGTGTCGGCGTGCGGTACCCGCCCTGGGAAACAACAGGCTGTCTGAAACCTGCGCCCACCACTGCCTCTCAAACCCCGCGTGACGCGAAGGCCTCACGGACTGTCTGCCAAACGGAGGCGTCTCTTTAAATCACCGTTATGGAGACAGGAGAGCGGTATGAAGCTGCTGAGCACGGGCGGTTTCTTGATAATTGTCCCGTATTCTGTCCACCACCAGCCAGGCAGGACGCTTAATTTGCTGAGAAAATAAAAGGTCCCTTTGGTGTAACAACTCGTCTCGCACCACAAATAGCCGGATTGTTTCATGTCAACGTACAGCAAGTGCTGTCCGGCTGAAACGGACAAACGTTGCATGAAATAAAGAAAAAAAGGCAATTCAGTTAAACGTTAAATCAATGTATATGACTTTGGAGGTATGGATCTGGCCTTTAGTCAAAGACTAGGGGTCATGGAAAGGCCAAAGGTCAAGGTTGAAGCTCATTGTATTCTGCTCAGGCGTAGTTCAACCCCTACGATCAAATGATTAGTTCATCTTTTAGCCGGTAAATATAGATGAAGATTCAATTTTGTATCTAACACCTCGTGTTAAATGGTAAAATCTCAAACGAGGCAAAGATCTGCAGTAATTCATTTCCACAGCAGACATCTCTCTGTTGGGCCTCTGAGATCGGGTTTGGCAAATTGGATGATGCCCAACAATTCGTATATAAAAAAAGAAACGTTATTATGATAATTTATAATAATATACAACATGGAATGATATTTTTCTACCAGTCAAAACCGCATTCATCACATCACAGCTGTCAGCGATGACCTGTATCGCTCTGCGTTTTGGCTTTTAGCTGTAAAAAAAACTCCCAAAAAAAGACCGTTTTTTAAAATGACAAACACCTGATGAGGATCACACACAGACACACGCAGCAGGAAATAGGAAACAGGAATATTGAATCTAATTGGAATAATTTAAGATTTATACGTGAATGTAATTCCTATCATTTTTTATTTTTATTTATTCTTTAAAGATCTGAATTGTCATTGTTGCGTTTTTAAAGACATCTTGCAAAAGGCTGTTTGAAAAGTGGTGCCTGTAAACATGTTGCTGTTGTTAAACATCATGGTTTCATAAAAATGTAAAAATGCTAGTGTACAATGTTATTAAAAGTGCATCTTTCCCAGCAGCATACAAAATGAGAAATGGCACGTTCCGTAGTGAACAGAGCAGCAGTGAGTAATGCCACTATAATGTAATTCATTTCATCTTGCCAATTATAGTTATATCCTCAACGATTTTGTCCAATTTACCATCATCATCCTCATCCTCATCCTCTCAAGTTATAATTTCCACTCACTGGCTCACACAAAGACCAGGGACATTATAATAGTCGGAACTATTAAATGCACATGAAGATGTATCTGGTAAAAATAGCCAGCAGTGATTTCTATTTTTCTGCATTAATGCGTTTTTAATAATTATCTTGGCTCATTGTTTGAATTCATTAGTAAAACCGGCTGTAGTACACTTGAAGGAGAAGGGGACGGTATGGAGAAAATAGACACATGTGTTATTAATATTATCATTCATTCCATAAATGTAACATTCATGTGCTTTTTACTGACCTCTGCTACAAACATGTTAGAGCGCCCTCTGCTGGTCTTCTTTTTGGAGAAGGCTCTTTTTCACAGAGCTCCACATTTCACCCACTTGGTGGAGGGCACTAAGCGAGGGAGCAGAAATGACGTATCGCCGTCAGAATAGTCAATAAATAAGTAGATCTGCAATGTTTCCTCAAGGAGAAGTGGCAAAGTAAAATTAAATCCCACAGACGAACAACTAATGGACCCAAAGAGGAAAACGAAACGATGCCCTCTGTGCTGTGAAGAACACAAGAGTCCAAGCAGGACATGCTGAGGGTGCGTTGGTGGCCGTGCAGCTGGGAAAGGTTTTTTTTTTTTTTTTTCCCCATTCGGGCTCAAAGCCAGACAGGCGCCGGGCAGGATGGGTAGACAGGCGACGCTCCCTCGGGGGCCGGGCTGATTGGCACTGATCACAAGGTCTCTGCAAGGTGCCATTTCATGTGAGACTGTAAACAAGGTCAAAAGGATGCCGAGTTACAGCTGCTAATCACCCGGCCTGTCTGTGACCAGCAAGGTGCCACAGAGGGCTGCAGGGTGAAGGCCGCAGCACAGAGAGAGAGGATAGTGATATATGTGGGGGGGTGTTACTGGAAGTCAGCTTTAGAATGCAGTCCAGCTTTAAGAAAAAGAAAGAAAGTCAAATAAAGTTGGCTACTTGTGAAGGAAAATAAACTGTGAAATAGCTAAAAGTAAATATGCATGTACAGTATTGATAAATTAGCAGTTCACAGAGATGCATAAATGATGATTTATTGAAACATTTAAACCAAGCTCAAAGTTATGGATTTGCTTGGAAGGCAACTTTGACCAAAGATGTGTTTTAATGGCTTTTTATATTCGAGTTGCTCATGTGTTTTAATAGACCATGATTGCTGGATGCTGTTGACATTGAGACACGTCGATCACCGTGTCAGGGTGGCGGTGGCCCGGGGCTGAATTAAAAAGGGTGGGCGAGGCAAGGAGGGAAAGTTAATGTTAGTGTCTCTGCTCGGCGCCCAGGGCCAGACGCACAACTCTGAATGCTGACCGGTTCTATTGATTTCTGACCACGTTGGGCAGCAGGCCAGCCGAGGCCTCTGGTACTGACTGTCTGGCTAGTGATTGATTCATTAATGTAAAACCATCTCAGTGGTCACAGTGGGCAGACACAAAATACGCCGATGGAGCTTTTATTGCTTCTTGCATGTACGCACCACTCGAGTGCCCATCTCTGATTTGTGGATGACACAATTAATGAAAGTTTACTTAAATCATATAAAGTTATATACATCCATATTTACTGATTCTCAACTAGGTTTTTTAGATTTCCGTCAAAATTAATTAAAAGAGTTGATAATCACACTCCACATCCACGTACAATTTTTTTTCTATATCCCTGGCCCATAGCCTTCTATTGAGTTAAATTGTAAATTTGTGAATTGAATTGAATGTCATTTGTCTTGTCTCATTGTCTTACTGTCCGATGTTCTGCATATATTTTGTCAATAAAAGAGTCACACTGATTGCAATGATTCAAATCGGCCTCTAGAGGGAGACGGAGCACTGTGCAACACGGTGGTGCATTTTCTCACTCTATGAAGCGTTTAACAGATGATGTATGACGGTTAACAGGCTAAAGAATAATCAAACAGTTCGTACATTCTCTCGTCTGTTGATGAAGCTACAGAAAGATACCAAAGTGTGCGTCACAAGAAGATAACCTCTGTTCACAGCATTTCTCCATTGAGGCTACTTTATAAATTCATCAGAAGTCCCTTTTACACCCAAATCAAACTCTTTTTCCATTAAGAATTTCAGTCAGATATCAATCAAAACCATTTTTATTTGACAAAGAATTTTTGGATTATAGCTGACAATCATAAAGAAGCTCTCACAGCTGAATTAAAAGTATCCTGTGAAGGACCTCCTAAAATGTGAAGTGACAACAACCATTAGTGCAATATTTAATAAATTCTTCAAATTTCTTTCTGATTTGCATTTCACATGATATAAATACAGCATGAAAGAGGAACATCTGCAGACAGACCCTTTCGTATCCCAATGTCATGTGTCGTGATGATGTAGCGTGTCAGTTGGCGTTCCCCTCCGGGGCTCCTGGGTCGCCGTCCGGTGCATCAAAGTTTGCATGTCTGCACAGCCGTGCTGTCCTCCGGCCAGCGGTACGAGTCCACAGCAAACTCCTCATAGTCAGTGCTGTAGGTGAGCGAGTGCACATAGGCCTCCTTGTCGGACGGCTCGGGGCGAAGTGCCGCCATGTTGTGCTCGTAGGCGTACTCCATGACCTGTAATGCACGGGGTTGGAGAATAGTGTTGAGGTTTCACAAGCCCTTAGACAACTAGACTCAAAGAGACAGGATAACAAAAAGGTAAAAGTGGGCTGGAACAATATGTTGTATGAGGTCCACCTGAGCATCCATGTCCATTGCAGAAAGTTTATTCACCAATGTTTGTTTTTTACCTTAAGGAAAATATCAAATTCAGACAACAGGTGACTCAAGGTTTCCGCTGAGGCCTTTTATTCTGAGCCCACATTGGTTGCATTTAGAAGCAGTAAATCCATCAATGCACGATCACATTTTAGGCTTATCACACCTTAATGGATTTTCAATAAAGGCTCAGTTGGACATCGCCGCACTGCCGGCACCCAAACACCGATGAACAACAAGTCTAGAAGATGCAGAGTGTGCATGAGTGTGTCCTGGTTCGGATAGTCGACTATGAACCCTTCCAAGGTGCATCTGCTTCTCGTTGTACGCTGAGCTCTGACCTTGACAGCCAGCTTGAGAGAGACGTCCCTGATGGAGCCGAGAGGAGGATACAGCCTTCCCTCCGCCAGGTCCTTCTCTGTCACCTGCTGCGCGAGAGCCTGTCAACAAGGTAAAACACACAGCTCATGTTATTAGAGGAGGAAATCATCAAAATATGCCAACTTGTGTTGCACATGAATACTCTCAGCTAGCTACAGATCGGTGGGGTGAAATGTTAAGAAGTATTTTCTCATTAGGAATATTTTGCAGTATAATTAGAACATTAATGGCATTACCGTACTTTGAGCTCTTCTGTTTCTTAATGCCTGTAATTATTTATCTGGGAGTGTGTAGTGTGTGTACACTATTCAGTGTAGTGTGTTTGGCCTCTCCTATATATTTCTAAATACACCATTGCTTGTATTATCGTAGGCCAACACCCATTTTTAAAATTACCACACAATACTGCCACATTTTCCAAAACTAAACCATATATTAAGAAACAATTAGCTTATCCTCCACGCTACCTACACATGTGTGTGTAATATTTCAGTGCTACAAACAAAATAGAACAATAAGTAAGGGTAAACGTTGTGTTAAAAGGTGTGTGCGTGCTGTACATGCGGTTTGTGTACCTCTGCTGCAGTGAGGAAGACTTCCTCACTGATATGACGGACGGCGCAGGCGGTGACAGCCAGGCCCACACCGGGGAAGATGTAGGCGTTGTTCCCCTGACCGGGGAAGAAGGTCCTCCCATCGGACAGGGTGACCGGGTCAAATGGGCTGCCGCTGGCGAAGATGCCCCGGCCCTGCGACCCGTGGAGGCACCGTGAATTCACCCATTCATCACGGATCAACAGGGGCATCGTTCGGGGCCATTTGTGTCAGCATTATTGTGATGAATAACGGTACCTCTGTGAGGGTGTAACACTGCTCGGCGGTGCACTCTGCTTTGCTGGTCGGGTTGCTGAGGGCAAAGATGATCGGCCGTTCATTGAAGGAAGCCATGTCTCTGATGACCTGCTGGGTGAAGGCACCGGGGATGGCCGCCGCACCTGAGACAGAAAGCTTATAACGTTCAATATTCAGTCTTCCGACTTTAAACGCATTTTCCAAATGACCCTAAATTCTCATTCAAGTCTACGATCAATCCCTTCTTTCAATATACCCTTGAATCCGATCCATCAGTGTCATCCGACTGGTACTGAAACTAGCTGCCTCATTTAAACATGAAGTGCTGGTTGTTTTACCAATGATCGCTGTAGGTTTCAGTTCCCGAACCACATCCTCCAGTTTCTTCATCTGTGGGTGCTTATGAGCAAACATCTGCTTCTCGTGAGTCAGCTGGTCCCGACCCTAACGGTAAAGGAGAGGAGCAGGACATTACAGACATGAAAACCGGTAGAAAAATAGTACCAAAAAAATGGTACTATTTAATACTTTAATACTTGGAGTCATTGACATTGGTCCCTAACACTTTACTGCTGTTGGAATGAAGGAATGCTGGTACTTTCCAGCTCTTCTGGTGAGGAGACGGTAAGTGGGATGGAGGAGAGAGGGAATAGTTGAGGAGAGTGAAGAGGAGGAATGAATCACGTGGATATGGTGGACAAAACAGATGTGTAACAGATGTTGCAGTTTGCAGCTATTCCAAGGACAAACCTGGCATGTGAATTAACAAACCATTGGAAATGTTTAGTTGTGGAGGTAACTGATGTCAAACTGCTTAGGAAAACTCATCGTCAGAGGTTTTTAACCCGTGATAACATCTATTAGTGTTGCTGTGTATTTTCTTTCTGGATCTACTTTGTCTAAACGGGCCGTCAATTGGTTAATTCTCCATCTGCATTAGCAGCATTTTATCAAGATACCTGGACAATGAGACCCTTGGAATCGACCATCCAGATCTTTTTCAAACACTCGTCCTTAGCGAGTCCCTCTTTTTCCATGGCCATGGCGATCAGCTCAGCAATCCCCATCGCTGCCTGGGGGCGGGACAAGAGAGGAGGAGCTGCATCACTATTGTAAAGCCAATAGTCAAATCTATTTTAAGATGCCATTTGTGTAAAATCAGACACACATTCAGCCCTCCGTACAGCCTGGATGCTACGATCCTTCGTTTCACGACCCAATAATGAACTCTTCAACCTTAAATAATGAAATAAAATGAAACGTGCTGCTGGACAGTTTGAGTCATTTCAAGTGTGCTGCACAAACCTCTCCTGCACCTTGGAATACAATGGTGTGGTCGCACATCTTGGTCTTGGTGATGCGCAGAGCGGCCAGGAGCCCGGCTACCGCCACTGCAGCTGTGCCTACAAACAAGCAAGCATAAAAAATACGAACAAACTAATCAATTATTAAAATAAGATAACATTCGCCAACAAACGCTAACATTCCAGATCTATGAAAAGAAGCATATGACCCGTATTTGATTATTATGATTAAGTTTTATGAAAGAAAAGTGAAAAGGCACTCCAGAGAAGGACGTCCATTTTTGTGTGTGTCTGTGTGCGTTTGAGTTACCTTGGATGTCATCGTTGAATGTGCAGTACTTGTTGCGGTACTTGCTCAGCAGCCGGAAAGCATTTGCGTTTGCAAAGTCCTCAAATTGAATCAGGCAGTCCATTCCATACCTGAGAAGTGAAGGAGATCACCTTTATTGGGGGAAGGTCCTTTGACCGGCTTCTGCAGACACACATAAAGGAAGGGCAGTCTTCCGTCCTGAAGGGGGCGCTCTCTCACCACATTAAGCCACAGGGTCAGAAATAAAAAAAGGGGTGATTTGGGCTTTTCAGTGCGCATAACAAACTAATAACAAATAAATCTAATTCAGTTTTCTGACCACGGCCGGTTTTACATAGGAAGGAATAATTCTGTGTTAGACGTCAGGTTTGTGAAAATTACAGTCACAGAACTTGCACACCGTATGCTTCGTCGACGTTGAACAAGCCGATTTCACAATGAGAGGAAGCCAAACCTCCACAAAGAGTTAGAATCACCAACACACCCGGTTTGTGGAAGGAGGCACAGGCACCGTCTCCCAGCGAAGCGGCAGTGTTTACAAGATGCTGCCCAGACATACTTCTACAAAAACATCACACAACAAAAATAAGCTGACCGGCCGGCGTTATGAGTCTGTAAATTTGATTTAGCAGCAACAAAGAGGAATCCTGAGTTCCCAGGCCTTTCAACAGATGGAGCTTTTGTTCAGGGGACTTTACTGGATGTGTGCAGAGCGACTGCTGTTGCTTCTCCACGCAGTGAAAGAGGCTTTCAGCTGTAAGAAAAGCAAAGGCGAACCTGTTTAAGGTGTTTGAATAGCTCCATAGATGCTGTACTCCATCACTGTCAAAAGTTATTTTATAATGTCTACAACTGCCGCTGGCAGATTTTAGCCTACTTGACTAACTAAGTTCTGGTTGTCTTCATTGGTTGAAAAGACGCAGTTAGGAGGAGGCTTGAGTAACAAAGTCTCAATACCGTCCTAGAATCTCAAAACCACGGAATATTATAACAGGAAACTACTTGGAAATAATGCTAAGCTACTCCAGTAGGCTAGTTAGCCGTAGATGTTAACGTTTGCAGATGGTTAGATAGTCTCCTAAAGGTTAGAGCCTGTGAAATACTTCGCCTGCTATCGATCTAAATACAGAAGTGGTCTGAAACCTGTGTTAAAAACACAAAGGGATCATGTCTCAGCGAGTGGGGACATTTGGGACAGGCTAAGCAAACAGGCCCCGTACCCGTCCCCCAACACCTGTGGGCCTGTCAGCTAACTTAACAACAGCAGGAGGTGGAATCCTTCCATTTCACATTTCTTTTTTACTTTCATCCTGTTCGACCTATAAACATTCTTTCTTTTCATGAAACCCCTCCGCATAAGGAAGAGGAGGACAATATCAAATCCACCAGAGCGGTTTGCCACTTGTTACAGCGGATGCTGAACAGCTTAAACCTTCAGCGGGAGGTGGATGAAGCTGAGCGGAAGCGGGAGGAGAAAGAACTGCAGCACGAGAAGTGACCTGAGTTCAACTGCAATAAAATGTAATTTCCACGACGAGGCGAGAGCGCCATCGCCTCCAATCGGCCACACTGCGAGGCACCGTTTCCTGACAGCACGGCTGACTCACGGCCAGCACGGCAGTAGCGACGGGGAGAGAAATGTGTTTTCTATCAAGCCGAGAGCAGCACTAAAGCACTAAGAGCCTGTGAGAAGGGGAGGAATAATGAGGCTTAGAAGGGAGCTGTAAACTTTTCATTGTGCTGGGGCTTTTGGAGACGGAGGCCGGCGCTCGTTGCTATGGTTTCGTGCGACTGGCCGCTGGAGAGGTCACACCAGTTCAAGCAGAACCAACCTGCCTGAACAGAACAGCCAAAAGAGATGGACCTGGGAGTGCAGATCTCAGCAGAAGCTGATACTTCGGCGGCAACTATTCTCAGTAAAGAATAGTTAAGTTTCGATATTTTGATATTAAGTGTACATACAGAAATTTTTTTATATTAAAATGACCGCAAAGAAAGATCAGAGGCTCCTGACAACAACTGAGCTGTGAAGACATGCATATTTATGGGCGTCCACTGCCCATAAATAAGACCACTGATGATGTGAGGGGGTGAGAGAGAGAGAACAGGATTCCTCTTTCGCCGTTTGTGTTGCTGGTCCCTTTTGTGCCTGAAAGTCTGTCCTTGACGACCTTTCCACAAGGAACGCCAAAACCTGACAAAAGACCCTTTTCTCCATCTGAACAGCAGGACTGTTGTTGCTGGGCAACAACACAGAACAACTGGAAATAAATGTGGTGACGGTGCAGAGTGTGCAGTGAAACTTGTGGTATTATTAATTATATTGCACCATTGTAAATTGTACCATAACATAACTTCATGGTGTGGATCCAACTGAGTGTGTTAGGGCTTAAAAGGTGATTCCCTATCATAAATAATAAGTGATTTAGATGTATACTTATATGAATGTCTAGGGCCACAATCAGTATCCCTCACAAATGAGTATTCATAGTGAGATTTCTTGCCAGGTCACTCCTGTAGGGAAGAGTGTCTTTAACTTTAGGTTAAGGCTTCATAGTTTAATTGTTACTATATTCTTGTTCGTAATAAAAGGTATAAAATAGCATTACATTTGGTAATGAATGACTTTCAACTCAAAACTGAGATCAGGACTTGTCTGCTGGCGAGGCTGTGATTTGGTTTCCCTTTCACGGCTGTTATGAAAAAGAATAAAGAGACGGTGCATCTCTGCTGTTGCTGTTTGGCAGTGAGATCACTCTCAGTCTCTCTGCCTGCTGCTTTGTTAACAGCAGTGTCTGTTCAGTGACTTGTGAGACCAAAAAGGGCCGGCTGGCAAAGCATTCGCATCCCGCACAATATGAGAAGACAGAAAACCTACACCTGAAGATCTACAAAGTATTTCAGCGTCTTACAGCCCACTGCGTTGATTGTAACTCTAATGTTCGGTTCATTCTTGCTACTTTTATTTAGCTACCCCATCTGAGCAGAGTGAGTAACATTTGGGGTCTTTGGATTAATTTTCATCATTCATTTGCATTGCACAAACTACAATATATGAATGCTCTGTTTTGACTTATTGGATTTTCCCGCCACAGACATCTGGAAACAGAAAACAACCAGACGAGCAGACAAGACACTGCAGACGAGAGGCTGAACCTCTCCTGCCGCTGGGCCGCTTAAGCTATTTGCGAAATGCTGGCAGAACAAAACAGAGCTCCTTTGTGCTTGAAACGTATTCACTCCTGCGATTTACGACGTGCCACAATAATACGGGTCAAAGCATGAAAGGAAAAAATGCACTCAATGTTTTCAGATGGAGCACTTTCAAGAGGTCTTCATGCTTATTGCAAAACCAGTTCATTGTATTGAGAATACCTGCTTGGGATCTTATTATTAATGCCAGACATTAATATTGTGTCAATTCACTCGGACTTTGGCATCATGTCTGAGCCGCTCGGTAGGACAAGGGAACCCGATGCGTCTTCACCCGAGACGTGATCAAATCAAATCTGAATCCCCGGCAAACAGGAAGCAGGTGGAAGTTGCATGGACTTGTGGACGGGGAGGGAGAAGTGATTCATTTTTGAGTCGGCTCTCTGCAAAGAAGGTCACACACAAGGCTGCTCTGTCCAAACACAGCTGTCCAACGTGCGCGCGCACACACACACACACACACACACACACACACACACACACACACACACACACACACACACACACACACACACACACACACACACACACACACACACACACACACACACACACACACACACACACACACACAGGCTGTCTGTTACTTCTGTGCCCACAGGGCTTCATGGTTAAGGCTTATTAAAAACCAAGCCCTCTCTCCCTCTCCTCGGAGCTAGCATCTCTCACCACACGTTATTTCTCAAATCCCTGAGCCTTTATTGACGACAAAGACGCTTTCTGCATTCTTTATCCTCTCAGGCTCCTTTCCTCCATCCAGCAGTGCTCTTTTTGCTTTTCTGTGCCAAGGAATGAAGATACTTGAAGGTGTTTTTGTAGATTCTGCATGCAACTTAGACAACATCTACCTACCAGCACCTTGAAGATAATTAACTCATTTATTAATAAGGTAAAAAAAAATCTAAAAAGATAAATAATAGTCATAGTTACATTGTGGTTTTGCAGGTGTTTTGAGCTGGACTACGCATTGGCCAGGTGAAGTGACTTCTGCGTGTCACCTGGAAACCTCACAATGACCACAGGAGCATCATGGCTACATTTAGTATGAATAAAGCTAGCGTGTTATTGCCTTGTAACTAAAAGCCCATCCTTCCAGTTTCATCTCGTCAGCTTTATCCAGCGGGGTCCTGACAAAAACAAAACACAAGAGGGCTTAAAGATGATGAAAAAGATTCGTATTGTGTGGTGGGCGTTTCCGGGAGCAATGAGATTAAGGGATCATTAGCTTTTGCCTGAAGACAAGAGCATGTCGAGTGATTGTTCAGCAGGATCAGGAGAAGTTTAGCCTTCGATCAAACACTTCCCTCCCTACTTATGCTGTTTATTGATGATGACTCAATCTGGAGTATTTCAGTTCCCGTTCAGTTTGTTAGAAACCTAAACAGGAATATTACTTAAAAGAGTGCAGAGCTGTAATCATTCGTTCAATCTCTGAGCCCATAATTACTCGTTTTCCGCCAATCTGGCTCCTTTCGGGAAAAGGCTCCGCTGTTGCCTGTAGTTGAGAAGCCACCCGGTTATTAGAGTCCTGGCTTCCTGTTGCCAGTTGGAGGAGGCCCAGACTTCTTCTAGTGGACTCTTGTGTGTGCCCATATGTGTGTGTGTGCGTGTCACAGCTTCACGGACACAGAGATGCGTAGATGTGTCGGCATGCATGCAAACCGCTAAGTATACACACGTCACATTGAGGGTAGGACTGCATATAAACACCTCAGCAAAATAAAGATATGATGAGTGCATGAAATCCGAATGAATGACAACACAACGCGTTTAACACTTCAGCCTCACTGGGCCTCCAAGTGAAACAAGACCCTCAGTACTTGGTTGAAGGTATGGTGAGATATGTTTCGTGAGTCGACACAGAGATTCCTGAAGGCTTTGCTGATTAGAATCATCATGCATTTCACTTCTAAATATGTTGTTCACAACAAGGAGAACGGTTGTCCTTTCACCACTGGAAAAAGTCCATTTGGCTGAGTTTGTGTGGACTGACAAGCAAGACAAACCATTACGGGCAGGTTCAAGATACGTTACGTTGCGCAGGTAAGAGTCAAAAACATTCAAGGGTCGGGCTCAACAGCTGAATGGCTGGTCAGCCGTGCTGAAGAAGATGGTCACTGACGGTGACCTCCTGATTTCCAATGAGCTCATTCTGCCTTTTAGCCAGCACGCAAGGTTTTTATTGGCGTCGCTAAGCAACGAAAACCCAGTTCAAAGAAGGTAAAAACGAATCATCTGCGACTGACTAGAAAAATCTCCGGCTACGTCGCTGTGCTCCTTCTGCATGAGGCCAATACCATCATACCTGTCAGAGACGGCCGCCATGAATTCATCCAGAAGGTCATCGTAGGCCCGTCCTCGCACTCTCTTGTGTCTCAGCCCGATGTAGAGTGGGTCCTTCAGCAGCACCTGCAAAAGCCCACAGAGGAAGAGGAAAGAACGGGAGGTGAGAGGAGACAATGTGAAAATAAAGAGACTTCAGGAGAACAGGAAGGAAAACAGGTCCCTTTTTCTGTTTGCAATGTTCATGCTCAACTTAGTATGTTCTTCTCTAAAGCTGCACTGGGTAAATACGTTGACCAGTAAGAAGCTCCAAATATCCACTGGATCAATTATTTTAACTATTCCCATGACATTGTTGGGACAATGCAACCCAACAGCTGAAAAATGCTTTTGATCTGTAAAATCAACACAAGCAAGTCGGCAATGTGATGCAGGTAAATTACAAACAGTTAGCCCACTCCTTCATTAAACCGCAAACATACATTTCATTGGTTTGTTCCTATTTCCACAACAATTAGCGTCCAAAATGTAGAATTTTATTCAGCAAAGCACATCATTAGAAAATTAAAGTCCTGTAAAAAACTACTTGACTGAGCGCCGGATTTCCATAAAGTTGGAAGGCTTTTAAAACACCTATAAAATACCTGAGTAGCAGAAGTGAAAACATCCCCTTACTGCCCAATGTGTGCCAAGTCCCAGACACTGAGGATCCTACACTTGCAAAAAGGATACTTCATGGTGTCGTGCAAATGTCCATCTGCCTTTTAAACATTTGCTTTGCATTAAAGACGTTCAATGTCCAAGGCCCTATAACTCTAATGATGCCATTTGTATTCATTCATACTATTAAAAGCCCCTTTCCAGAGCCAAGGACGCCTTGTTAGACTGTTCTCACAGGCTGAGCCAACGCTCATTTCTATTGACATTTAAACCACATTCTTTTATTTCAGCGAGTTAGCATGCTAATAGCATACATTCAGACTGATGGGAAAGCCATTATTTTTCACAAGTACAAATATGATGAAATATTCTAAATATATATACAGTCTGTTCCTGCGATCTTTAAGCATCCCGTCCGTCATCTACGATAATCCACGGAATGTGGACGAGTAACTCATACAACCACTACGTAATGAAGGATAAAAGTAAAGTAAGTAGGCTTCATCCTCTGGATCATAAAGGAGAGAAACTGATGAATGAAGTGGAATTAAACGTCACCTGGCGAAGTGGTGACAGATTGCCTACAGACTTTGCTCGGCGGTATCGGCACATAGTCCATGAGGTGTCTGTCGTGCTGCACCTGCCTGACACAACATGGACGGTGTCCCAACATACACCACACTGTAGATAGACACATCGCGGAGCACAGACTCAACTTCAATCTGCTAAGCGCTTTTTTTTTGGCCCCAACGGCCGGGGAGCCGATCCAGAGCGTCGTCGAGCCTCGTGGGGAAAGGCCAACGTTACTTCTGGAGATGGATAATTAGAGGGGGCCACTAAGACGAGCGCGACAGCCGCCTTCATGGCAGGGTGAAGAGTTGCCACGTTGCAAGAACGGGTCAAGAAAGGTTTATATAAAAAGGCAAGATTTATGTGAAGTCAACAAATTGTTTCCTGGCAGTGGACAGTAACAGACGGAGTTGGCCGAGTTCCGATATCCCTTTCATGGGATCCTGCTGAGAGCCCGGTTGATAGGGGAGGGCGCTTTTGGTGGCAGTTTAACAGGATGATGCAAGAGCTTGCAAGCCGAGACTCATAAATGACCATCTCTCATTGAGAGTGTTATCCCATGCGGTTAATGGAGCAAAACTGTGTTTAGAAAGGTGAAATAGAGGCATCACATGTTTAAGTGTCCTGACCTCATTGTCCCAGATTACCGTTGATTAGCTAAACTGTCCTTTGTGTCGTAGGGATTAGTCTTCACGTATGGTTTTACAGTTCACGCCAGCTCGACGCACAGAAGCTCCACTTTCACTTTCACTTGCAAAATGTTTCTAAACTGATGACCACTGGACTTTTAATCAGGGAGGATAAGTGGACATGCAAGGTCTGAAATGTGATACATTTGTTTTACAGAAGCAGTGAATGCAGACCAGGGATGCACAAACGGCATATTGTCCTGGATCACTCACTCTAGTTTCAGCAAAAGAATGTGTGTGTGTGTGTGTGTGTGTGTGTGTGTGTTGCAGTTACACCAGGAGACGTCAGGCACTGCTGGATAAAGTCCAGGCAGATAAAAGGTGATGCAGTAAAAACTGGACTCATTCCTGTCAGTGCTCTGCGTTATCCAAGTAGAGCCGTCCAAGTACTCTCTCTCTCCCTCTCCTCAGAGACAAATACAATCCCATAATAACAGTAATTTTAATAATTTGCTGGAGCTACCACTACCTCATAGTTCCCTCAGACACACAATTTATCCCATTACAACTAATTTAGCCTGTCATCTCTTAACAATAAGAGAAAAATGGAAGCCGTCTGCGGTCTGGCAGACAACAGTGAAATCTCTTTTATAGGTATTTCTTTTAAAGTTGCATACGCGTACACCTACGTGTTTGTTTATGTGCTTAGAGACCAGGTTTGTCCCTGTCCATTTACTGTGTACTTTGTTTGTACTGTTGTGCTGATGGATCACTAGTATTCCCTAGTTAATGGTAAATGATACATTTTTCTCCAAAAGGTAAGTATCATGTCCAGTGGAATTTAAAAAAAGTAATACATTCAAATCTAACTTTTTACATACTTTCTACATTGCTTATTATACTACTTTTGAAATCAGTCCAAGTGCCTTTAAATAACTCCAAACCCAATGTTAGGTATTTTCTCATCATTTACGAGCGTAAGGAATAGCTACTTGTTTGCGTGTTGCAGGACTCCAGACAGCCTTAACGAAACGGTTTACAACGTGTTCATTAATGAGCTCATTGACTGTCGGAAACCGTAGTTATGATATATTGGATCAAACTAAGTTGGCTGTTTACATCACATCATTAGCATTACAGAGGATTTCTGTAGGAAATCAGTTGAGAGTTCAATTTAATTTGCCAACTCATCTGTCCTCAGCACCACCTCTCATCCTTAATCCACGTGGGACATTGCTTTGGCTTGAAGCTGAAACCGGGGGGACTGAGTCATGTGAAGACGGTGTTGGACGAAGCAGGCAGGACGGCTCCTGAGCTGCGCGGTGTCCAGCACACGGATCGGAGGCGGCCCCGCCCTTGGCCGAGGGTTGTGTATATTTAGATGTTCACGCAGACTATTCTTAGTCTGTCTAAGGCTGCACAGGCACATGCTGCCCTGCCCAGAGTTAGAATCATCTTTGAGGAGACAGCGCCGTAGAGAACGGGGACTCTAGGTGGTAACAGAGGGGAGAGGTGTTTTGCCATCTGGCATCCATCGATGGAGCTACTTACCTCACTTCATATTAAATGTTTTTCCTGGTTGTTGAATGTGAGATTAGTTTGCTTTTCTTGGCAGGTTTCTAAGGCAAGGCCAAAAGGGCTACGCAGGATAAGGAACATTTCCCTTCTGGCATAGACCATAGTGTACTCATAAATAATATTTTGAGTTTAAGGGTCAGGGTGATAGAGTTGAGAATAAGAGACCAAGCACATCTTTCATTTAGTGACCTACTTTCTCCACATGGATGATTAGAGTTACATCTATTTAAATGAATGTAATCCACTCTGAGTCCAGCCCCTGCTGCTCCGAAGCCTTTATTACTGGCCTCTGTGTGGGAGGCAAACCATTTTCCTGGCGCGGTCTTATTTTCACATTATAAATAAATAAAATAAAGGTTAAAACAGATGTGCTAGTCAAAAAAGTTACTGTTAGAGGCGGTAGTCCTACACCCTGAATCTACTTGACTTTAGTGGAGTTTGACGTTTAGGGAAGTGCACTTGCCTGTCAGGGTTTAGACTCTCTTGTTTGTACAGTACATATGATGCTACAGCGAGGAGCTAGGTAGCTTAGCTTAGCATAAAGACCGGAATCTTATGTGAAGACACAATCCGCCAGCTCACTAATTAATCCTAATGTTCATTTTATGGTTGTTTAATCCAATTAGCCAATGTACTCACATTATGAACAAGGAATAAAACCTGCTAAATATCAGCATGTTCACATTCTCACATTTAGCTTATGGTGTGTGCTAACTGCAGCCTAGCAGCTAGCACGGCCCTAGACTAGTTATTCATTCCAAACAAAATGGAAATACAGGTAGATGCATTGAAAAAATGTACTAATGTTCATGGATACATACTGTCCATCTCTGATGTCACTTCTATTTGGAGCTTGGCTCTCACCTCGTTGTCTGTGCCCACATCCAGCATGACGGGCAGGCACTGCTGGGGCGGGACACCTCCACAGGCCGTGTAGAGCGCCAGCTTGCCCACAGGGATGCCCATCCCACAGCAGCCAAGGTCCCCCAGCCCCAGGATCCTCTCCCCGTCCGTCACACACACCGCCTGCCGAACAGCAGAGCGGGAAGCTTTGAAAGGCTGGAGTTGACCTCACATTTATACACTATTTTATGAGAACATAAAAGAAGCAGTAGTTTTCGCCTCCTTTCTGCCTCAACAGGTCCGGCCTGCTACCCAGTTAGCATGATTGTTTCCCCCTGCGAGTGGGCCAGGCCCTCCTACAGATCTCCTCCCTGGCTTTCCACTCACTGGTTACTCAGTAAGGTGGATTCCACAGCATAAATCAACACATTGTGTTACACTTGCACTTCAGCAGAGGCGTTATATCTAAAATGTTCCTTATTGTTGAGGGTTTGTCTTTTTCCATCTGTGTGACGCAGACAACGCCTGGCAAAAAGTTTTTGTACAGCCAGGCTGATCCCACAATCAAACAACGAGGGTCATTTGTTCCTCCACGAATACTTAAAATCTAAAATGACCATAACTAATGCCACTTGTTAACGAGTGAGTCAGCGGACGACCCCTGCTCCCGTGTGCCCTCGCTGTATGGAAATATTAAAAGTCGGCCATATTAGGCGAGTTTACGATAAGGCCGCCGTGCCAATGAGACAGCGCTGAGCTACATGCGCTGCTGTTGACAGCTTTGAACAGGTGGCCCAGGCTGCAGGTGTATTTGACATGCCAGGAATGCCCACTGGTTTCCTCATTCTGAATATGGCTTGATTGTGACTTAGCAAATAGTTTCTTGATACAGAGGATGAAGAGACATATTTCAGGTAAATACAGTGAGAGGACCAATACCCAGATCACAGACCCCCAGTGGGTCAATGAATTCCCTGCATATGTTGTTGTGCAGGCTGGTGTGAGATGACTGTCCTTTGGGTAAAGACATTGGGTTTCACTTCTCCCAATTTATCATAGAAAACATTCAACGTTAGAGCAACATACATTTTCACTATTTCTTTGCTACAAAATAATAACGGATGTGTGTTGGTTGTGTTCTTTGTTTTTTTGTTTTTTGTGTATGCTGTAATTTCCTACAGGAGAATCAAGCTGTATGCTAAATGCATATAGATCTAAGGATAAGGCAGGTCACCTACATAGTTTCTAGCATTTTCAATTTAGCACACGAATATCGTTGGTCTCTGCTTTATCGACACAGTGCGACAGAACAAGACCTCTGTCATTGGCTTTGTAATGTTGCAGTGCTGGAACAACATGGACATGATTAATTAAGACTTCACGCGACTGTTTGAGTAGCATCATTTACCCTGATGTCCTTCTCTGGCCAGTTCTGGAGCAGTGTAGAAATGTGGCCACGGTCATGAATGGTGATGAACAGCCCCCTGCAACAAAGAAACGCAGTTTAGCAAAAGGAAGAGAAAAGTGACAGAGACCCTTCTGGATCACTCTTGCTATACTGTAATGGCAACACACCCACTTTGAACGTTAAACTAACATCATCTCCACGCTTTGAGGGGAAAGCTTTGAGCTGTGCTTATGAGACTTAAAAGGGAGACGTTTTTTTTTCGGCCTTTCTTTCTTCTGACCACAACTTTATTGAATACCATTATCACCTGGGACTTCAATGTTGAGCGCAAAGCCCAGGGCCTCTGCATGGAGCTTGCTTTGACCCTTGAGAATCCCCAAATATGAATTTGTGTTAGTATCACCCCCCACCCACTAACCCCCCCCTCCTCCTCCTGCTGCTGCTCCGTCTTTTGCCCCCCGGAATGAGCGTGGCTCCCTCCAGGACAAAAGCTGAGGAGATAATCTGAATGCGTGGGGTCCAGCTGCAGGGTCTTTCTTACCCAACACGCCCATCAGGTTATAGAATTGAGGGGGCAACACCTCACTGTGCTCACAAAGCGGAGACACGTCTCAGGCCAACGCTCGTAAAAGAAAACAGTGGAGAAATGTCTGACTCAAAACAGCACGACACTTTGCTAAAAGCAAGAATACAATCTATTTAGATGAAGAGAAGGACACACTTGTCGCATAAGAAGCGGTTGATAGGAAGGGTAGACGGCACGTTTCCACTTTACATCAGTTACCATGGTGGTTAAAAAACATCTGCAGCCATGCAGGCAGCTTTGTGAGGCTGGAGACAGATGGGGTTATAAGTTGCTGAGTAGCTAGCATTAAACACAAAGTAAAATTTGATTTATTTTGTCGTTATCCAAAGCGTTGGTCAAATTCCATTCCGAAGTGAGGTAGGCGCCAGAGGAAATGTTGGGGGATTAAGAAAATTCTGTGATAATACATCCAAGTTTGGAATTTTTCCCTCAAAATCTCAAATTTCAAGCCTCGTGCAGCCATATGGGACCAACTAAGTCAAAACGCCTCGTCGTCTGGTTACACATGAATGTCTGCGTGAAACTTCATGCAAGTCCATAAAACAGCCTGTTGAGACATTTCGGTCTGGACTTGAGTGTCTGACTAACCGACTGAGTGACTTTGACATCCCTGGAGCAGAGATCATCAATCAGATGGAAATCCAAAGGTAGCCGATCCACTGGTCCACTGGTATTAACATTATTTTATTAAACAATTAATAATATCTTATAAATAATTAATAATAATATATTTTTTCCATTATAATTCCATGGACTGAGACGACTGAATGTTCAAAAATAAAGTTTAACCTATTTCTATCATCTATATTTGAGTTTATATGTTTATTTACCATATAAACACCTGTAATCGTTGGTTAATGTCCTTCTGAAAATGGCCCTTTTTTAAAATCATGCCCCATGCCAAGACTAAAACTTTCTGAATATGATTAATCTAATAATACTTTTTTTCAACTTTTTTCAACTTTTTTTTCTGCTTTTCTCTGCAATGTGTTAAAACTGAATATCTTTGCTGGTTCAACAAAAACAGAACAGATCACCGTGGCCTTTAGAAATCACAATTTCTTACATTCAATTGATTCAGTACGTCAAAGAGGAAAAAACTGAGGCTCACTGGCTACATGATGCTGCGTCTGCAAACAGCTCTTGAGGTCACATAGAGGTCACAGAAATCAACCCGTTTCTGGCAATATCACGACGCACATCTGCACACTACTGCAGGTGTGTAGATGTGCAGGACAATGCACATGCACTGCATGTTTATGTGTGCCTGCTGTGTGTGTTTACCTGAGGCCCAGAGGACCACTAACCACTGCCAGCTACAGGAATATGAGTCATTTGGGGAGGAAGAAGGGAGATGGGGCTGAGGCGGACCCGGCGATATGAACTGTTGGAAAACAACTTCATGAGATGGATCCAAGCAGACCGGCACTAATGCCTAATCTCTGTCAACATGAAGGTTGTGAAAAACATTTTAGGTTCAGCTGGCCAGTATTCTCCTTCTCCTCCAGACCCTCATTTTATTCCATTCTGTATTTGCAGAGGAGCTGTTGACCGCACAACCTTTGACCCAGCGGTGGTCATGCCTTTTGAGCGGTCCAAACACACACACACACACACACACACACACACACACACACACACACACACACACACACACACCTATAGCAGTCACCTTATTTTCTAGATGAGGGGAGGTGCACAAAGCATTGAGCTGCCGTGTCCGTCTCTTCCACTAAGAGAGTGTGACGAGAACCGAGAGGGAAAGAAAACAACCTGATGGCCTGGAACAGCAGCTCCGCTGACCCGCAGGTCAACACAAAACACACGCAGGGAGCGTGGAAGGGCTGCCGGGGGCCGCGGGAGGACAAGCTGCTTTCCACACCGTGACCCCAAAACACAACCTGAGCACAGGGAGGAAGACAGCTTCCGATCGTTGACCCGTGTCCACACAAAACACCAGCGGGCACCATTCTTCACCCCCACAACGCATCACGTTAATCTCCACTGCGACGCACACCGTCGGTTAGCAAAGCCACATGCGGTTCGACTGACAGAGGACACAAATCATTGAGAAAAGATGGTAGAAATAGCATGAGAGGTCAAAGTCCTGCTACGGGAGAGTTTCTCAAACTGTGGGGCGAGACCCTCTAATGGGTTGCGTGGGGAAATTTTGAATTATTTTAATTCAAGGGCTTTCCATATTACAAAAGTACTGCTGTTGACTCTATATAAACGAAATACAGATCCAAGCTCAATATTGAGCACGTATCAAGTCTGCAAATTATGGGATGGCTCATACCACCACTATTTAGTGTTGCACAGGTTGCATACTATTGTTGTTTTTTTATGCAGTGTAAAACTCCAAATATTATAACTTGTTCTATTTTTCACAAGTTGCATTATATTATTATTATCTTAAAAAAATGTTCAGTAAAAAACAGGTTAATTACAGCCACTATTTTCTGCAAAATATTTGTTATTTTTCGCACGGATAGAACTTCATTTGTATTGTTGTGAGAACAATACCGAAATTGTGTGACGCAACCAACCAATTAATCTGTCCCCTGAGAAAACTGTCCTTCTGATTTAAATGTAAATGAGGTAAATGTAAAAAATATATTTATATTTAACACACAAATATGTTTACAATGTCAGAAATGTCACTTTGCAAACGTGATTTTTAACAGGTTAGCCTAGAGCTCTGAACAGCATAAGTCTTTCCTAGCTATAAACTAAAAAAGATGACGCACAGGTCAAATGGGTGCGTCATCTAAGAAATCAAACTCCTGTGTTGCCTGCCTTACGCTGTGTAAGCCCTGTGACGCTGTAGAGATAGTGTGACACGTTTAGCTGCACACTCAATTAGCAACAACATGCAGCATGCGGAGGTCTTCGTCAGAAAGTTGTTCCGCGATCACAAACGCAAGGCCCTGTAACTTCTAGCAGTGTGGAACTTATGGTATGTGAAAGCAGCGGGATGTCCAAGATACGGGGTCACGGCTGGAAAGAGCAACACGTCAGTGGGAGAACTCCCTCGTGGAGATACATGGCCTTTCAAAACCAGTTCAAACAGGAGCTCCTGTGAACACACAGGACCCCTCCGTCAGACCACATGCTGTTAAGAAGGCTGGGAATTTCAGGCAAATGTCTCTGAAACAAAGCCATGGAGTTGCCATAAAAAACAGATTAACATTTCAAATAATAGGTGATAATAAACTCGCCACTTGAGGTTCAACTCATGGAGGTTAGAGCATAGACAGAAAATGGCAACGCAAACATAATACCGTACACATTGTACTGTGTATTTACATCACCCAAGTTGAGCAACTGAACTGTGGCCAATTGAAAGAAACCAAAAATAAAACAAATATAAAACGTCTAGTTTTGAGTCACTACTTCATAGGTCGGCCTCACGTCCCCTAAATTCAAGAAATGAAAACACAGTGTGAAAGGCTAAAGTTGTGATAGCAAAACATACAAATCAGAGTGGACAGCAGCATGGCAGACGTATCCTTCTTAACGGTGTGTTTTACCAAAAATTGACTAAACAAACATCACGCTGTATTAAAGAAGACTTGAAATCATAAACTAAAAAGGTAAATAACTAAGTGAGAAGCCTCCTGATGGCCGGTAGAAAGTTCGTGCCGCTCCCATATGGGTTTCACGCTTTGGACGCAGAGGTTGCCTCATCGGGCAAAACGCATCACCATGTGTATTTAATCACTTCACTTCATAATTGTGTAAATGACTTCTGCGCAAATCATTTCTCAGTGGCGCGTATCCAACTAACCAACAGACTGGACTAGTTATTAAAGTAATACATTGCACACTAAATAATATGTTAACTTGTTCCTTGCTGTTGAATAGATTGAGTGGTGTAAATCTGGCTTCATGTAGGTAGTTTCCGCATTACTAAAGTGTTTCTATTTGCTTTCAGGGAGATGTGGGCGTCTAGCGAAAACAAACATTTCATGTCAAGATAAACAGTATCATGTGTTTGACTCCATGTTTTAATTTGTAAGGAATGTCAATAGTCCATTACGGTCCGACACACATCTGTCTGGGTCCACCACACATCTGCCTGTTATCAGATCAGGTGAGTGGAGCATCCTCTGAGGACCAGCAAAACGGCCCAGCACACGCACTCAGACATGCTGCACACTCAAAAGGAGACAGAGTCACTTCTACGACTGGATGTGGTATCCGACCACACGCCGGAGAAAAGGACCGACAGCACAATATTTAAGCAATGAGAGTGCTGGTTTCAACTTTCTTGCGTCCTTCCTTGAGTGGAATTTAATAAGTTAATGGCTTTCCATGAAAAGGCAAAATTGTTTTTCCTTTCAAGCATTATTGTTAACAGAGATAATCATTTTTTTGGGGGGGGGAGGGTTGCATGAATCATCACTGGAATGTGAGATTCTTCAGTTTGAGCACAAACTGAAAGTTACCTCCAAGCACATCAAGTCGGTGAAGCTGTAGGATGCTGC